TATTTTCTAACCTCACAACGAACGTCCGACCTATCAGGCAGTAGCTTATTTTTCTAAAATTCCGTCGGTTGACCCGAAGGCCTTCAACGTCATCAGTAGTTTATGATTGATGGAGTCAATTACTTTCCGGAAGTCTAGGTAGCACAACTCAACTCCCCTCTGTGGATCCTTTTTATTACTTCATCAAGGAAGTAGAGGAGGTTTGACAGGCATGACTTCCTCCTTCTCAATCCGTGATGATCAGCCATCAAAGCGCCTACGGTCACCACATGTTCAGCGATCCCGCTGCGCAGTACTGTCTCTATTACGATTGTCAAGCTGACCTGGCGATAGTTGGAGATCGACTTACGCCCTTCTCCATTGTTCATAGGAATGAATGTTACCAGTAGCCAGTTGGTAGCTGCCTCTGTGTAATGCAGTCACTGAATAATCTAACAAGGGGCTCATCCTGTGGTTTCCGAATATCCGCGTAAAAAACCATCTGGCCCTGCTGGCTTAGTTGGAACGAGCTCCCTTAGTACACGATGCACTTCATCTCCAGAGATCATCACCTTCGGCGTGAGAGTTTTCTCATGATTTTCGATGTTGGGCTCTGGTCTACCGTTGTCTGGTTTGTAAACTCTCTGGAAGTAGGTTAGGAGGGCTTCCGCCTTCTCATTGTCAATCTTCCATTGCATCAACGATTTTGCCAACTTCATTTCCAAGGGTACTGTTTGATTGTACATAGTTGAAGTACTCCTTAGTATTCTGTTTGGCGCCCATGCATAGCGTTCCTCGTAATTTATTCTGGTCGGGTATGGACACGAAAGGACAGAACACGGGACTTTCAGCGGAGCCAGAAGCCGTCCAGTTTCTTGCACCAATGAGATTGGGAGCACCGCGGCGCTGCAACGACTGTGTTATTTTGTTCAATCAAATTTGAGTTAGCCTGATTCTGGAAAAAGGAAACGCACTTCCTCGGAGTGACAGTACACGTCTAAGATTTTACCAGGATCAAAGCAACAGTTCGCGACCCTCCGCTTCGTGCTAACCAGATTTATAGACATGTGTAGGAGAAACAATCTAAAGCGGTGATGCTTGATGTTGAGAAATTCCAGTAAAATGTGTGATAAACAGTGAGTGAAAATGGAGTTGTGGGAGTCGGAGATAACAAATTGAATTATCTTATGATTGAAGAGATGGTATGAAGAATTGGGAGAGACGGATGAGCCATTAGCGACATTAGGCCCGGTTTCAGATACCTTCTAGGAACCCTTCCTGACCTTGACCGCGCGCGGTTGAAAATTTGTCGTGGCTTGATAACTTTGGTTTTACATGTACTTATACGTATTTATTCGTACTCCGGTGCATATATTTTTAATTGTGATTATCTTAGATCATCTCAGGCTATCTTAGACTAGAACTACTCGCTCTTATACCGTATTTAGTGTACCTGTTCCTCTCCACATAGTGCACACTGTCTGTCCCCGATTTATATTCTACTAATATCTCTTCTCTTTACTTATGTATACTGAGCTTCCCTAGTCCTCCGACGAGAACACTTTAGCCATGCGGGAACCGCCCATGCAACATAAGGTGTTCGAAACCAGTGACTGGGCCAGCACTCAAATAGCTCTAGAAGCAGCTCTGGTTGCTCATGACCTTCAAAGTTCGGCAATACACGAACTGCGAGGAAACTTTGCGGCACAAGATAACAACAAAATTCACTTGGCAGCGCTGTTTAAGGATAACTTCCCAACAGGTCAGGCAATCACTTTACCGAAACAACAGATATTTGACACTGCAGTCAAACTAGAATCATCGGCCATTAGTGCCAAACGGATTTTAATTTGAGGTAGTTTCCCCAAGTTCAATTCTCCGGCTCAGGCAACCAAAACCCTCGTGAAAAGCCTTCCAACTTTATTCCTACCCAGATCAAACGCAGCATCGTGGCTGATGTCTAAATCTAAAACGACGAACGTGAGCATCTTTATCATCTTCAACTCAGTATCAGCGGTGGCAGTTTCTCTCGCTCAAACCAAAACTCTGAATTGGCTTGCAAACTTGTCCACGCACGTTCCCCAGACAGGCCACTTCATGCCTGAACTCCGCGGAAGGAAGCCCTCAAAGCTAGCAAGTGTGCAAGCGACCCAAAACTCCACTGTTTGCCCGTAAGCCCCCTCTCGCAAGTAGATCGCCAAGCGACGACAACTTCTTCATCTCCCAAGACACGACAGTCTTCCATGACCTCAATCACATATCCTGCAGCGAGACCCAAACACCCCCAACAGCCTCGATCCCGAAGCACCATACCCCCGCTAAGATAAAGGCTAACCCCAAGACGCCTTTCAATCCAAAACCACAAAGGAATGGTTTACTGGGCAAATACCTCGTATTACTCTTCCCAAACGGGTCATTAGAACCCCAATCTCCCCTTCTTCCTGTGGGAAACAAGGATACTTCGCACACTCTCATAGGGATTGCAAACTGTCCCATTTTTCCTCACATCCCATCCTACTCGTCCTCCCGATTTCTTCAACCGGTCGAGGTAATCATGCCGCAGAATGGTCTTCAATTCGAACCCTCTCCGTGGACACTAATTGCAAACCAGATGCTCAAATTAGAGCCCCTCCCTAAAATCCTCCCTCTACCCCTGCTTCTACTGAAATCTCTGGTAAGTGGGCTCTGAAGTGCATTTCCACTAACTGTCTCAGCACCTCGAACAAGACGCTGGAAGTTAAACAGTTAGTGGCCGACAAGAAACCCCATGTGTTAGCCCCCACAGAAACCTGGTTAACTCAGGAAAACAGCGATGGCGAAATATCCATTGCAGGGTACTCATTGATCCGAAGAGATTTAATGAAGGGCTGATCAGATGTTGTGATCCTCTACATGAATGACCAACTCCACAAGCGATAGCTCTATCATCCCCTCCCATCCTTTTCATAGACTGTCTCCGGGTCCAAATTTCCTTCATGCGCTCTGAAACACTGGTGTTAGGAATAGTCTATCGCTCACCCTCCTGTGGCAAGCTAGAATCACAACTGAATAGCTTGAGATCTATGCGCCCCAATACCTACATTCTGATAACTAGAGAGTTCAACGCTCCGGGAAGAGATTTACACAGACCTCACGGCGCAAATGATACATTTGGAAGGCTATTAGTTGACCTGGTCACAGAGCTGTCATGGTCTCAGCACGTCACAAACCCAAACAGATTCAGGAACGAGCAATTCCCTTCACTGCTAGATCTTGTCAAAACAGGTGATAGTCACCTCACGGACATAATTCAACAGCATTGCTCCTTGTGCAAGAGTGATCATATTTTGTTGTCTTTCGATGTAATAGTCCGCTGGCCCAGGTGCGCACACCATGCCTTAGGAAGGTTTATTGTTATAAATGGATAAACTTTAACAACCTGAGGCATTTCCACCGAGCCCATACCCCACAAACCAAACAGATAAGTGATTCAGACATCTTCAGTAGCCCAACAGAGCAGCATATACACACAGCGGATCATCTGATGGTGCCCCGCGTCCGTAAATCCTCCTCAAACGGGCACCCCTTACCGCGTGCCATTCATCATCTTTTAGAATAACGTTCGCGGTTCTTTGCTGAGTACATATTGATGGATTTGATGGAAGATGGCTTCTACCGCATTCGCAGTTTATGCAGAACAAGGATCCGAGACTACCAGCAAAAGCAACGAAACCGCATTCTGGTCAACACACGAACACACCGATCAGTCCTGTACAAATTCATGCGACGAACCCCGTCCGCTCTTGTTCTATCTAAACCCGACGGTATCTCAGGCATTTTATCTGCAGAAGTGGCGGGAATACTCCGGTCCTTTTCGATCAAATTTGAAACATCCTATCTCCAATCAATCATCCCAATCTCCATCCCGTAACTTACGAATCCCCAATAGATCACGTTATCTTGACAATCTCAGAAATGGGAGAACAACGCAAACAGGCGAACTCCTTCAGCTTGATGGATCCGAATGAAATCCATCCCGTATACTGAAAAAATCCGCGGAAGTGTTGGCCGCCACATATTTCCAACTTTCACAAAAGTGCTTGGACACAGGCAACCTTCGACAACAGTGGAACAGAGCAACTGTCATCCCAATCTATAAAAGAGGTAGTCGACACTTACCTACTAGCTATAGGTCAATCAGCCTAAGCAGCATTCTCGGTATAGTTTACGAACGCCTCCTTAAACGGCGTATTCTAAGGCATCTAACTGAGAACGGTTTGGTAAATGCTTCCCAACACGGCTTACTCCCAAACAGCTCATGCATCTCCAATATGCTAACCGTAATGGAAAGCCAAACCCGTGCTATGACGGAGATCATATTTTGCAAACGATCTTCATAAGCTTTGCTAAAGCCTTCGACAGAGTGCCACACATTCCTCTCCCATACAAACTAGAGAGTTATGGCATCACTGGCCGATAGCTTTCCCTACTTACTCTCCATCGCGGGTCGAATAGACATATCCGTTTCTTCATCCTCCCCAGTCTCAATAGGAGTCTCACATGGTTCCGTACTAGGTCCCATCCTGTTTCTGATTTATACTAATAATCTCTCAACGAATCTGTTTTTGTCGCCATTAGGCCAACTCAGAATCGTTATTTTGACTTTAATTTCAGTCTAGGTTATTCACCTCAGCTTCATCTTCCTCTTCTTCTCAAGGAATCTATCTTGCAACAATTGAGACAATCAAGAATCATAATTTTTATTTTCATATCAGTCTACGTTTAGGAACCCTTTTACGATTTCCGCTCAAATAGTGTCGTTACTACTTAGACTAAAATGTCCTTTGCGAAAACTTGTTTCTTCTACTCAACTTATTTTCTTTTGATTCCTTCCCCATCCTCGTTGGTTTCTCCTTGTTGGTTTAAATTACATGTGCTACGTCAGATTCTTTCCTCTGTAAGCTGATTTTTCTTTCTTATCTTACAGAAAGATTTCTACTTCTATTTATATTGCACGGTTTCTGTAGTAGCGATTGATCGAGGTTCAATAATTGTTTCAAATAAATGTTTCGTTTTCCTGACTGTCCTATACTTCCAGCATTAGATTGAGCGATAACATGCATGCTTTCTCTCCCCTATTATCAGTTGGGTTATCGAAAGACGAATACGGCAAACCGTCACTAAAATTCCAACCCCAAACAAACCGTTCAAAACCCGAAGAGAAAACAATCCGAACACTGAGAACCGACAAGAATATCATCATCCTCCCAGCGGACAAATTAAGGGTACCGTGGTAATGGACAAAATAGATTACATTAGAAAGGCAAACGAATTACTCCAGGACACAACTACCTACCGCAAAATGAACATGGATCTAACTTCAAAACTCGCCAGCAAAATCAACACAACCCTGAAAAGCCTGGAACAGCCGCACCAAATTAGCAAGGAAGAACACTGGAGAATGAGAGCAAACGACTCAGACACGGCTCAATTCTACAGACTAGCAAAAATACACAAAGATAATGTGCCCCTACGACCAAAAGTCTCGCTTCCCGGTACACCAAAATACAAACTGGCCAAAAGATTGTGGAGGAGACTGAAACCTCTCATTGCCGGCTACGAACATTCCATCAACAACGCCAAACAGTTCCTAGAAAAATTGAGGAACGTAAATATTGACGCAGATGAAATAATAATATCCTTCGACGTCAGCTCTCTATTCACCTCCATCAACCTCGATTTGGCCAGGGAAACCCTAAAGGAGCTGCTAGAGGAACGACAGATACATCAAGCATTGGATCACAAATATATCTGTGAGCTGATTGACTTATGCCTACAAACATACTTCGAATTCGACGGTGGATTCTACGAACAGGTGAAAGGAACACCCATGGGTTCACCAATTTCCGGATTCATTGCTGAAGCCGTAATGCAAAAACTCGAAAGGAAAACTCTACCACAACCCCAGCCTAAACTGTGGCTTAGATATGTTGATGACACGTTTGTGATCCTGAAGCGATCGGAAGTGGACAAAACTTTCAACAGCATCAATAGTATCTTCCCAGATAACAAGTTCACCACGGAAACGGAACAAAATGACAAATTGGCATTCCTCGATGTCCTAGTAACAACATCATTGTCCGGCCCGTTAGAAACATCAGTGTACAGAAAGAAGACCCACAAGAATCAAATCCTGGGATACACCAGAAACCACCCAACCTGTCACAAGAAGAGTTGCATTCAGACACTTTTCGAAAGGGCTAAAACAAACTGCAGCACTGAATCGTTGAGGCAACAAGATGAGAAATACCTCTATCAAGTATTCCTTTGCAACGGCTACACCCGCAACTTGGTCAAACGGACAATAACTCGAACAGAACAACACACAAGGACAGATGGGCAACTGAACAAACGAATAACCCTACCGTATGTGAAGAACATCTCTCAAATGACCACGAGATCACTGAAGCCGCACAACGTTCAAGTCGCTCACAAACCAACGACGTCCCTACGGAGAATCTTATCGCAAACCAAGAAGCAAACAAATGTGATCTACCGCACCAGTTGAAAGGACTGCAGCAAGCACTACATCGGTCAAACATGGAGAAAACTAGCAACTCGCGTGCACAAACACAAACTGGCCATCAAAAGACACGATGCACTCTCACTCATCTCAATTCACGAGTACCAAGAAGGGTAGACATTCGATTTCGAAAACACCAAATTCATCGATGAGGCCCGCACTAAGCACCCAAGAGAATTTCTGGGAGCTTGGTGCTTATTGGAGAGCTCCGTCAACCGACACATTGACGTTGATCAAGTATACACCCCCATGCAAAAAAGGGACCAATCACACCAAAGGAGGCAGCTGGTGT